TGCCTCTCTTGTGCAGGACCTTCTGATGGATGATGCAGCAGACCTGGAGACCACTCCTATGAAGGTCTTTTCCTGGCCTTCAAATGGGGTTTGCTGCCTCTTGTTTGTCTCTCATTATAGTAGCTCTAGCCAGGGCAGCCTCCCTGTGATTTGGTCTATCCTAGGTTAGTTAATGCATCAAAACAGGTATGGCTTTCAAAAGCAGCAAGGTTTGACCCAAATGGGTTTTCTTTAAGCCAGAGGTGTTCTGAACCACTTGCTATCTGTTTGTTTCATTTACTCCCTTTCATAAAATGCTCTCAATCTTCCCCAGGCTTTTCCTTCTGACACTTCCACAGCAGCAGTGCCTTTTCCACCACCACAATCCAACCCCATCAAGGCTCACCCACAAACAAGGCCCTTGTCCCCAGCACTATTGTGGCTCACTCGTGTAGCTCCTGGTTACCACCTGCATCGTAGAATGTAGTCTGTATGTCCTTCTCTCCCACCTACTACACAGCCTTCCATATATAGGGGTAGCCTTATTTACCTCTGATCACCATGGATCTTCTCTCCAGAATGGCTCAAAGTTTCATCCATAAATAAGTGAAAGATCCACATGTATATTATCTAAGTTAAAATCTCACCCAGTTTTCTTCTGAATCTTCTTCAAATGTATTCTGGTTCTTTTTTTAAATCAACCTACTGTCTTCAGGCATAACTCAATGAGTTATGGAGAGAGCTTGGGTTTCCTGAGCCTTGATAGGTAGCAGGTGAGACAGGTGTTATTGGCTTCATTTAACAAGTCAGGAAATGAAATTAAAAGAAACTCTGTAACACATATTTGGTGAGCAGCAGAGCACAGAGATTCAAGAACAAGACTATCTGACTCCAAAATAAAAGATAAAATTCTCGTCTTCACGAAACTTATAATCTAGTTGGAACCATGAGACAAATACATAAAAAGGCAAATAACAATAAAAATGTTCTATCTAGGGGTGCCTGGGTAACTCAGCTGGTTGAGTGACTAACTCCTGATTTTGGCTTAGGTCACGATCCCAGGGTCACGGGATCGAACACTGCATCAGGCTCTGTGCTGAGCATGGAGCCTGCTTAAGATTCTCTCTCTCTCCTCCCTTCTGCCCTTCTCCCCCACTTGCGTGCTCTCTCTCATATTTAAAAAAACAAAACAAAACAAAACAAAGTTCTTATGTAGAGCAGGGTTTCTCAATCTCAGCACCACTAACATTTTGGGCCAGATGGTTCTTTACTATGGGGGAATGTCCTGCATGCTGTAGGGTGTTCAGCAGCAGTCCCACCCTCTACCTACTAGATGCCAGTAGCACCCCCACTTCAGTTGTAAAAACCAAAAGTGTTTCCAGACATTGGCCTGTTTGAGAACCCCTGACATAAACAAACTGCAAAGCTTATCTTAACGACCACTGCAATCATAAAATATCACCATTAGGGTCCCTCCCAGGCTGTTCTCAGAGATAAGTCTGCAGTGCCCCTCTAGCAACCACGCAGGGCCTTTCCACACCCGCTGCTGACTTCATTACTGTACTATCCTGCTTGCATTTCTCCTTCAAGCTGACTTATTTATTTTCACCCAGATGCAGTATATGTCTCAGGAAGATGTCTTGAAATCCCTTCTGAAAGGACATAGGGTAGGGGGAAAAATAATCCAATTAAAGGGCAGAAGCAAAAACATACACCATAAAGCAATGTGATTAACTGACAAATTATCCCAGTGTTGAAAATTTGCCAAATGCCTTTTTACAACAATGCCATCAAAGTGTGAGCCAGAGGCCAAGGGAGGACAAGAGTTCTTTCAGTCCTGGCCCTTCTGGTTAGAATGGGCTTCCCTGAAGAGCTGAGCATGAACGCTATCTGCTCAGGGGTGAAAAATTCCAGAAACTCTCAGGAACAAAGGCCCAGGGATGGGAAGAACCATGAATTTCTTTTTTTTCTTTTTAAGTTTATTTATTTATTTTGAGAGAGAGAAAGCATGCACATGTGGAGGGAGGGGCAGAGAGAGAGGGAGAGAAAGAATCCCAAACAGACTCCATGCTGTCTGTGCAGAGCCAGACCCAGGGCTCAATGCCACGAACCATGAGATCACGACCTGAGCCAAGATCAAAAGCGGATGCTTAACTGACTGAGCGCTCCAGGCACCCCAAGAACCATGAATTTCCATGAAATTTTCTAAAATACAAACTAACCTAACTTATAAATGAACCTTATTCTGGCCAAGCCTAAAATAAAATTAAATATATATGGAATACAATATCCAAGAACACAGAGTAAAACGGGTATAAACAGTGGCTGGTACATAACTCCTATGTAAGTAATAAATATTATTAGCTTTTATTATATATCTTAATTTAAGACAGTCTTTCATATTTGAGTACAGGGTGAAATAACAGGAACAAATCTTTACATTTCCTCAACTTTACCAAGGCCTAGAAGTGGAGTCACAAGCCTAAGTATTTACAGGTAATAAATGATGGCATCTTGAATCCAGTCTGATTCCATGTTCAAGGCTCATTTCACTGTGATTTGACACACCTCAAGATTTATTAATTTACTGGTCACTTTAAAGCAGTGATTCTCAACTGGGGATGATTCTGGCCACCAGGGGATACGAGCAATGTCTGGAGACATTTTTGGTTGTCACAATTGAGTGTGTGTGTTTGGGGTGGGGGTTGGTACTGGATTCCGATGGATTGAGGCCAGGGATATTAACATCCTACAACACACAGTATGGTCCTCACAACAATTATGTGACCCAAAGTGTCAATAGTGCTGAGGCTGAGAAACCTAGCTTAGAGGAAAGGTCTTACCAATATTATTAACCAGGAAGATGGAGACCAAAAGAATGCTTACATGCCAACAGATATTTCTTCCTTTGCCTTTAACCTGCTCTATTCTAGCTGTCCTCTCCACCATGTGTGAATGGATTCTGCCCCCACAGGTAATATGCTGGGCTCTCTGCTCCTTCCCTCTTTGGACTCTCAGACACCAGAAAAAGTATGTTCAAGCCACAGAACGGGTCAGGAGACATGAATGCAGCATCAGGAAGGCAGAAAGTGCAAGGATGCACTCTCCAAAGCACCACGGTCTTTTGGGTTTGTTAATCCAAAGTAAGTGTGATTTTACTGGCCACTAGCCACAACTCTGGCTTCTGGCTAAGCAGCCCCTGTTCCCTGCAGCAACTACTATTCACCAGTCTTTAAAAGACTGCTCAGTAGTGATCTAGATCACTATCATGTCCTTCAGATAGTGGTAATCTACCCTGACAGTCCTTCTGAACACTTGAAGAGACAGAGGTTGATTTCAGGATATTTTAAAAGAAAGTTATATCCTATCCCACCAGTCTTAATTTATTATTGTCTCTTAGATTTTGAAAGCACTTTATATTCTACCTTTTTTTGTGTCTACCTTTGCTACCAAAGATCACATTTGTACTGTGAAGAAAGCAGAGCAGATATCATCCTGTTCTATTCTAGGACCATGGAGAGAGAGAGACTATAGCAACAAGAGGCCAGAGCCCACTGCTCTGCCCACTCTGCCAGGCTGGGATGTTTGGCTGCTGGCCTGGTTGCAGACTCTCTCTCATTTGTACCTAATCGCTTAAGCATCTTGACATACTTATGCTTACATAGCATAAAACTTGTGTCTTACAAAGGAGTTTATCACAAAGTTAGAAATTATATGGCAAGAAGTAAAAGAGACTGAAGAGGGGTAGACCATACACAAAAATTGATCTAGACAAAGCATTTTAAAATAAAAATTCCTTCAGATCTTCACTTACACAGCAAACTAGTTCATAACAAAATGTTTCCTTTCCTGACTCACAAGCACCATAATTTATAATTAACGAACATTTGCCCAATTCTCCAGGGAAAGATCTACATGCTACACATCAGGAAATGCTCTTGGAGATCAGCACAGGAGAAATGAAACTCAAGTTCACCACTTTTGCTTTCATGCACAGTAAACCTAATTATGTCTTTGTAAATTATAGAAACCTCAGCATACCTCTTGTACCCAATATTTACCACATACCCTTTGTGTGGGAGGTACTGCTGAGTTTAGCAGGGAATATAGAATGAGGCCCTGCCCTGGGGCAGGGGCTGGGGCTGGGGCTGGAGGGTGAGTAACATGAAACGTAAACCCACAGGGACAGGGCACATCAAGTGGAATACAACAGGAGAAATGGGAACAACAACAAAAAAGGTGACCTCATCGGGACACTGAAAAATGAGAAAGATGTCACACAAGAAGATGGAAGGAAAGAGCACTTCTGACTGTAAGGACATACAGTTTCAGTTCAGTTCACTTGCAATAGTAGAAAACATCCTGGGATTAAGTTCAAAACTAAAAAGCTACACATGTATAAAAAAGGGGCTTCTACTTGCTCTCAAAGAAAACACTAGCTCCCTCTAGTCGCATTGCAAAGTAGAAATGAGGAACAAGACAGAATCAGGGTGACCCTTTTCCTGTCAGCAGAGACAGCCTGGAATCAGGGCTTCAGGCCTTAGGCTGGAGAAGTGCTCCCTGGGCTTCAGTGCTATCAGCAGGGAGATTGGGGAGGGGGGTGGCTCTTTCTCCTCACCTCCCTGGGGAGCAAAGGCCAATTCCTGCAGCAGTTGTGCCAATCAAGTACAACTATGACAAACTGTGCTACCAGTTTTGGGTGCTTATCTGTACGCAACCAGAGGACTGAAAGAGTCTGTTCCCCAAGGGTGTGCTCTGGAGCCACTGCCACAGGGCTAAGGAAAGCCTTCTCCTAGATCACCACTCGCCTTATGAGCTCCAACCCAAGTCACCCTGATGTCTCAGTACAGAACAAACGTGGTTCATTCAGCTGTGGGACCTTGGGGCCCGAGCCACAGTCCCCCAAATGGGGGCACTGTCACCAGATCCTGGCAGTAACAGCCCCTTCACCAGGGCAGAGATACGCATATTTCAGGTGTTCACCCTGCCACTGAAAGGCCACAAGGGGGACTGGACCCCAGTTTCAGACACAGTTTGAGCACATCCTGGCTGATGCAGACGAGTGGCAGGAGCTGGCTGGCGCCCAGGTCCGCTCCCCGGAGGCAGGCCGCGGCTCCTCCACGGACCACGGGTGGGCGACCGAGGGCTCAGTGTAAGTGCCAGGGGTGAAGGCGGATTCGCTGAGGGCAAGCGGAGCACGTGCCCGAGCTCGCCGGCTTCCCCGTGCCGAGGACAAAGTCCGCTCTCGCCAACCCCGCGGTTTGGGTACCGGGCACCGGGCGCGTCGGGGGGCGAGGCGGGCACGGCCTGTGCGCGGCTCTGACCCTACTCTAGACCCCGACCCCACTCCAGGCTCGGCCTTCCGCGACCACTGCGCGCACTCACCATTGTGGTTGACCCAGGTCGGCTTCAGGAGCTTCATTGTTCGGCCGCCGCCGCCGCCGCCGCCGCTGGGCTGAGGCGA